AGAAGTTACTAAGAGTAGTGCAGGTGACCTAAAAGCCATACTGAGAAGTCTTTACCCAGGATGCAGCAGGGCTTTCCTCGCGCCACATAGTAACTCTCCCTTTCTGTCTCTCGGCTTCCCAGTTTGTTACCCTAGATCCTCCATTACCCTCTGTAGGATTGAGCTCTGACTATAACGTCGGCTGGGATGACTGTCCATCTCCTTTTGTTAAGGAGTATAACATTTATCCTGTCCCACTGTGGTCGTGAAGACAGCACTTGTTTAACTTAGAGCAGAAGCCCTGTGTTCTAAGACATACCCATTTACTCTTAACCTTATCTGTAGGGCAGATGACCTGCTGTCAGTAGAATTTTCTAAGTTTCTATATGAATATACATATTAAGTATGAAGTAAGCACCATAAACACTCAATGTTACTTTGGGTTTGTTTGTTTTCTTAAAAACTCAGAAACCACATGAAACAGCCATTTTCTCTTGGGCAGGAGTGAAAGGCTCCCTCAAATGAAAAGAGTTCCAGATTTCAATTGGACCTTTTGTGCAAAGGAAAAAGATCAGTGAGCCAGCAGTTCAGTTCAGCCCTGAGACATAAAGAGGGCAAGCTTGTAGGGGTTGGGGGCAGTAGGAGAGAACAGAAAGGGCAGTGGTAGGTAGATTGTGTAGGTTGGGCATGAGGGAAGAAGCGTGTGGAGAAAGGCAGCTGGAAGACAGATTTGACAGAGAGGGAGCATATGTATTGTAGATGGTGTCATTGGAGGCCTTCAGTCAGCATTGTTTGCTCAGTGAGTAATGATCTTCATATTAGGGGGAGAGACGCTGACTTTATAATGTTATCATGAATGTTTTCATTTAGTATGTATGTTTAGGTATTGGTTTTACCTTACTCTAATGTTGTTTGTGTTATTCAGACATTTTAACTTGTGCATTTATTGCTGAGTATTTAGGCACAGGCTTATAATCTCACAACATTCTGGAGGCAAACAAGAGAATCTGAACGGAGATCTTGTTTCAGGAAAACAAGGATTTGTAGTGGCAATGCAGAAGAAAGCACTTGCCTAACACATACATGTGTTAGGCAATCTTCAGCACCACTGAAATGTGGCTGGGGAGATGGCTTATCAGTTAGAAATACCACCTGCTCTAACAGGACCATAGGTTCCTAGCTGGCACCTATGTTGGGTAACTTCCAACCATCTGCACTCTAGCTCCAAGGGATCTGATGCCTCTTCCTTGACCTCCATGCACACACATATGTAAGAGCATAGACATACACCCCACTTCTCTTCCCCGCTTCTCTCACATTTTGGGGGGGCAGGTGAGAATAGGATTTCACTATGGCTGTCTTGGCTGTCCTGAACCTTATTCTGAGAAACAGGTTGACCTCGAACTCGCAGAGATCCACACCTGATACAGGGATTAATCTTGGGTCCTCAGCTTGCTCTGTGAGAGCCTTACCTGATGAGCCATCTTGTCAGCATTAGATGAATTTTTTTTTCCTTTTTAATTATCTGTATAGGTGTTGTGCCTTCTCATATGTCTGTTCACCATATTTCTAGAGAAGCCAGAAGAGGGCATGAGATCCCTTGGGTTGGAGTTAAAGGCAGTTATGAGTCACTGTGTGAATGTTGGGAAAACCCAGGCTCTACAAGAGCAGCCAGAATGCTTAACCTCTGAGATATTTTTCTAGCTCCCCTAGGTGGAAATCTGTGAATACAGTTACTGTGTACCCCATCAGTTAAGAGTGCGGTCATGAATGACATCAGCTATAGATTGCTAGCACCTCGGTACCTCATTGGACCACAGCCGTGTCTGCAGCTCCCATAGGATAGTTACATAAGTCATCTCGGACATCAAAGGGACGTTTGAAAAGTTTCCATTTAGAATTAAAATACTTGCAGTTGACCTTGTGCTCATTTCACAATGTGGAAAGGCCCAGGGAATTAGATTAATTTGTGACGTGCAGAAATAATACAATTACAAGAGTGGTGGCGGCATACCACTAAGTACTTTGGCTGAACAACAGGATTGCTGACACAAGTTCAACACTAGCCAGACCTGTCTTTAAAAAATACCTAGTTTAAAAATCCTAGGACACCCACATGCTTAACTGGTATTTTTGTGGGGTTTTTAATTTTTATTTTGTCTTGTTTGGTTATTTTTTTTTAATCTTAGTTTTTTGTTTGATTTGATTTTTATGTTTTTGTGTGTGGGGTTGTTTATTTTTGTCTTTTGAAAGAACATAAAGTTGGTGGGTAGGGAGCTAGCAAGAATCTGGGAGGAGAAAATATGGTCAGAATATATTGTATGAAAAACTTAATCAGAAACAAAACCAGAGTCACCAAGATGGATTAAGCAGTAAAGGTGTCTGTTGCCTTCTGATGACTGAATTCAGTCCTTAGGACCCACATGATAGGAGACAACTGACTTCTGAAAGATAACCTCTGACCTTCATTCATGCTGGGATGTTCCCACACACATAACAAAATAAATGGAAATGTAATACAAATTTTAAAGCCTAAAACAAAAACAGTTACATTTTTTTATAATTTAGTGATTTGTTTGTTGAGACAGGGTCTCACTCCTTAGCCCTGACTCGCCTGAAATTCAGAGATCCACTTTTGCCTGCAGAGTGCTGGTATTAAAGGCATGCAACTGTCACACCTGGTCTTAACCTGTTTGGTTTGGTTTGAATATCTTAATCATTTGGATGTACTCCCTTTGGCATACCATGAACAAAGTAACATTAAAGTGGAAGGTTTGTTTTATTCAGTTGGAACGTTGCTCTTGGTTGCATAAGCATTTCCAGCAGGAATTCTACCTTCACCTGTGTGTCCCTGTAGTCAAATGCAAGGATGATCTTTATCCCTGGAGATACTGGGCCTGCTAGCTGTGTGTGCTGCCTTCCTTTCTTAGGCATAGGGTCGTTTCATGCACTAGAACACCAGGGGTTGCATTTCAGATATCCTGCATATGAGATATTAGGATTCACAACAGTAGTAAAATTACAGTTATAAAGTAGCAACAAAATAATTTTATGGTCGAGGAGCACCACAGCATGAGAAACTGTATTTAAGGGGATTAAGCATTAAGGTTGAGAGCCTTGGCAGTAAAGGTTTTAAAAGTTAGCTGTATTCTCCTTGGGTAAAGTTCTGGAGAAGGGCTAACAAGTACAGGGATGGGGATGGGGGGGATTGGGGGGGGAATGGGAATAGGGTGGCTATTTTGACATTTTCTAAACCACTTCAGTTGCCTTTCAAAACATCCTGGGAAGTTTGACACTTGAGGCTGAAGGCAGTCTCGGGCACTGCTAAGCAGGCTGTCTTCTGAGCACACACAGTTTCCATCCTCTTTAAAGTTCCACTAAATGAGCACATTAGTTCTCCTGCAGATGTGCATTTCTTTGGTACTGTTTGAAGACTACAGCTCTGGGTACTGTTCTCAAGAAGTACATGGAGCTTTGGTTTTATCTCTTATTGGGTGTATTTTGCTTTATACTTACCAAGGGCTCAGCTAAGAGCCCTTTGGGGCTATTACAGGAACTCTACCTAGGAAACAAATTGTTGACTGAAAGATCTTCAGGTTATGCAAGAGATTTATTTATTTGATAATTTAAAGGTACCAAAGGTTATAAGGTGAAATGTCTCTCTCCACTGTGGCCTAGAAACCCAGTGGTGCTCATATGTTACACATTATACCACTAGCAGTTATTCTGTGTATGTGGTCGATCTCTTGTGATTTCCCATGTGATGTACAGCTATCTTGGGAAATTTTCACTGTAGTGTGAACATGAAGTGGTCACAGCCTTCATTGCTTACAGAATTTTTGAGCAAAGTCATAAAAATAAGCTTTATAACATTTATAAAAGAAGAGTAAGAACAGTGTATGTTGCAGATTTTAGAGGGCAACAGAAGTCCTGCCCATGTTTCATTTCCCGTGTCTCCTGTATGTCACAGTGTCTAGAAGCACTGGTATGGTCACGAGTGAGCCAGTCATAGTCTGTGACGTAGAACATTGATGACGATGTCATTATATACATCTTAGATTGTCCTTTAGCACTGGGAGAATGTCATTGGTTTCTGCATTTGTCTGATCATAGGTGCCTCTTGCTTTTTACACTTTTATCTGGAGGTCTGGGGACAACTTAAGGCTGTCAGTTCTCCTTCCATTGTGGGGTTCAGAGTCATGTCTTCAGATTTGCCTCCAAGTGCCTACCCACTGCACAATCTCAGTGACCTAACTCTAGCTTTTTATTTAATTTTTAAGATTTGTGTTATTGTATATGTGTGATGTGGGAAGAGAGGACAACTTTGTGGAGTTGCCTTTGCCTCCCACCCCCACCCCCAGGTTCTGAGAACTGAACCCATGGAACCATGGGACTCTCACTTCTGTGCTTGCCTGCGAGCTCTAACAACCTGTCCCCAGCCTTGTTTGTTTTTTTTCCCCCTATGGAAGCTGGCAGATGTTTAAGATCTTGTAGAATAGAATATTATTGCCATATATCTTTGACTGAGGTCTGTTTTCTTATTTCTTGCCACTTTGAAGGTAAAATACCATTTGTGCTGTGAAGTAATTGATTTTTTTTTTTTTTAAGAACTATTTGTTTCTTGTCTATGTTGCTTTCCTGATGGACCTTCCTGTGTATTTCAGATCTATTCAGTGTAGGTATGTTTGGCCTCAGATTCACTGTACTGATGAGGGAGACCTTACAGTCTTGATCTTCTCCTGGAAATTTCCTATGTGTGTACCATAGGTAGCCACTCAGTTCTAGGTACCACGCCCAGCCCCTGTCTACCACCTGACCCCAGGCCCCCCAGCTTGCTTTAAGTGTGAGCTACATTGTAGTGTACATTGAGTCTGTTCAATCTGCTCAGAAATAGAAAAGTATTCTGTTGTGTTGTATGCAAGATATTTGGTTTTAAAAAGCATGTTTGATATGGAATCACTCATCTTGAGGTAACCACAAAAGTTGCTCATTTTAACTGTCCTTTTTTTTAACTTAATTAGTTGGTGACAAAGTTCCTGCTGATATTAGATTGACATCCATCAAGTCCACAACTCTAAGAGTTGACCAGTCGATTCTTACAGGTAAGTTGCATACTGTAAAGTCACTCGGATTTGAAGCCTCTTATCTCACAGCTGTATGTACCCCTTTATGGGATCCTACCCTAACCTTCTCTAAGATACTTAATTTCTTAGACTTATCATGATCCAGGGTGGAATGATGTCTGTGGGCAAGATTGTCAGGTTTAAAAAGTATTGGAAGGCTGGAGGCATGGCTCACCACTCTTCCAAAGACATGGGTTCAAGCCCCAGCACCCACAAGGGAATCACAATTCCAGCACCCTCACACAGACATACATGCAGACAAAACACCAGTGCATGTGGAAAAAGAGAAAACCACACAAAACATTGCTGGTTAGCCGGGCATTGTGGCGTACACTTCTAAACCTAGCACTTGGGAGGCAGAGGCAGGCAGATCTCTTCTGAGTTGAAGAACAGTGTTGTCTACAGAGCAAGTCCAGGACAGCCTGGGCTACACAGAGAAAGAAACCTTGTCTCAACAAAACAAAATATACACATACACTTTCTCTTCCCACCCCCATACATTCATTTAAAAACAAAACAAAAGAAAAATTTAAGTGTTAACCTGAATAGGCAGTAAACATAAATGTTAAAGGCTGTCAAGATTTACTTGGGTTTAGTTTTAAAAGTAACTAAGTGATCACAATTTGGTAAGTCCATGCCACTTGGGGCTTTTTTTTTTTTTTTTTTAAAGATTTATCTATTTTATGTATATGAACACACTATAGCTGTCTTCAGACACCAGGAGAGGGCATCAAGTCCCATTACAGATGGTTGTGAGCCACCATGTGGTTGCTGGGAATTGAACTCAGGATCTCTGAAAGAGCAGTCAGGTGCATTAACATCTGAGCCATCTCTCCAAACCCCAGTCAGCTGAACTTTAACACTTGATTTTATATAAACTGCTTAACTAGTGAACTTCCCTTTAGCAATATCAGCTTCAAGTTATTTAAGCCATAAAATGTTAGGGAAATGATTGGATTGTATACCTAAAATACTCGGGTGTGTCTAGAAATAGAAAACTGAAAAGGTTATCAGAATCTTGAAGGTCCCCTTTTTTTCCTCTTGGCTTTTTGCGGCAGGATATCCTGTAGCCCAGGCTGTCCTCCAACTTGGTATATAGCTGAGAATAATCTTGAACTGCTCTTTCTACTGTCTATACTTTCCAACTGTTGGCCTTAAAAGTGTGTGCCACCACAGCCGGCTTCATGATGCTGGAGATCGATCCCAGATTTTGCATGCTAAGTAAGCACCCTGTCAACTGAACTACATTCCCAGCCCAACTGAATATTATACTACAGTCATAGGTCAAACAAATAGCCATACCTTTAACTATTCCAGGAAATATTTCAGGATGTTATTTCAAAATTAGTCTTTATTTTTAAAATTATGCTTTTGTAATCCTGACATTCTTTACTTTCCATTACTAAATTTTCCTAGTTTGCCTGTTCTGAGTCAATTGAGCCCTTAGTTTCTTTCCCCATATTGGAAATGAGGATGTACTTTTTTGCTTGTTTTATGACTGGGTCTCACTGTTGTTCATCCCTCAAACTGGATATGTAGCACATGGTGGCTGTGAACTTGCAACTTTACTTGCCTCAGTTCCTGTGTGTTGGGATTATAGATGTATGTTACTGCAAGCGCTCACGTTGGTAGTGATAAACAGTGGGAATGGGGTGGTGTGGGATTGGCTATGCCTCAGATAGAGCTAACCATCCTGTCTCATAACCTGCATAGGTGAGTCTGTCTCAGTCATCAAGCATACTGACCCTGTCCCTGACCCACGAGCTGTTAATCAGGACAAAAAGAACATGCTCTTTTCTGTGAGTACTTTTATCAGATGCTGGGGTAGGGTTTCCGGGGGCTGAACCCAGGGCCTCACCTAAGAATGTACTTTTATTTAGAGTTAGTTCCTCTCTTAGTTAGAGTTTCTACTGCTGTCAGTAGACACTATCACCACAGCAACTTTTACAAAGGAAAACATTTAATTAAGAGTGGCTTACAATTTAGAGGTTTAGTCCTTTATTGTCATGGCGGGAAGCTTGGTGGTATGCAGGCAGACATGGTGCTGGAGAGGTAGCTGAGAAGAATTCTACATCTGGATCCTGAGGAAGCAGGAAGAGAGAGTGAGCCTCAAGACCACACTGCTCCCAATAATGCCACTCCCTAACTCCCTATGAGTCTATGGGGGCCATTTTCATTCAAACCAACATCCCAAAGTCCTGATTTTTTTTTTTTTTGAACTGGCCACTCTTGATGGCCAGATTTCAGAAAATAAGCAATTATTCCAAAGATAATTATTCTTTAGTGTGTGTGTGAGCTGTCAAAAACCCCAACACAGCTGGGGGTAAAACAGTGCTGTGCTGAAGACACTGGTAACAAAGCAAGTGACTCAACTAGAGACTGTGTAAAACGGTGGCCTGTGTGACTTGAAGATTGTTGTTTCAGCTGCCAGCTAGTGAAATGATTAGTGCAGACATGTTCTACTCTGTTTATAACAGTTGAGAAGTAACCTTCTCAGGAAACTCATCAAGCTAGAAAGGGTGCTTTTCCCACGGTATGGGCATTGCTGCTGCTTGTGGCCTGTGATGGAAAAGAAGTCTGTTTGGAAAGGGCAAGCATGGCATGCCATGTGACCCTAGGTGAACGTGCACGTGTATTTATTTTTTCGGTTGGTAATGAAATTTTTCCAAGTAGTATAGAACTGCATATGTTTTGATTATTTGCAATCTAGCTTAGTATTTCAAGGGGCAGACTTTGCTAATTAATAGGAGAGTATACCCATGGCAGTAAATATAGCATTCTATTGTGAATTCCAGCACTGGACGGTAAAGTGGAGTAGGGTGAGAACACTCACATTTCACATTGATTTCACTGACCAGAGTACTGGTGCTGGAGTAGAAATTCTGAAACAGCCAACAGGGCTGATTGCCCGTCCTTAGACGTGACAGAGTGGAGCGAGAAACAAAGACAAAAGACTACTTAGTCCTGAGAGCTGCACAGAATTTGAAATTACCACAAACCAGAGTACTGCTAAGGCCAGAGCAGGTCTGCAGGCCAGGTTCCATGTTGTGGAGAGCTGTCCTGTCCCACAGAGTGAGTAGGTATTATGGAATCCCGTCAGTATACACGTCAGTATTTAAGTTGGGGTGTGCTGTTACCTTATGACCAGTTTCCTCTTCTCCCCAGGGTACAAACATTGCTGCTGGGAAAGCCATGGGAGTGGTGGTGGCAACTGGAGTTAATACTGAAATCGGCAAGATCCGGGATGAAATGGTGGCAACAGAACAGGAGCGAACACCCCTCCAGCAGAAGCTAGATGAGTTTGGGGAGCAGCTTTCCAAAGTTATCTCCCTCATTTGCATTGCAGTCTGGATCATCAACATTGGGCATTTCAATGACCCAGTCCATGGTGGCTCTTGGATCAGAGGTGCCATCTACTACTTTAAGATCGCAGTGGCCCTGGCTGTTGCTGCCATCCCTGAGGGTCTGCCTGCTGTCATCACCACCTGCTTGGCTCTTGGAACTCGCAGGATGGCAAAGAAAAATGCTATTGTTCGAAGTCTGCCTTCTGTGGAAACCCTTGGTTGTACTTCTGTTATCTGCTCAGACAAGACAGGCACACTTACCACAAACCAGATGTCCGTCTGCAGGGTGAGTAAGGAATGTCCTTTGTGATTCTTTCATGCAATCTGTGGGTGATCCCCCTTGGTGGAAGGAGAGAACTAACTCCTGAAGGTACCCTCTGACCTCTGCATGTATTCCCGACACACAAAAATACATGTTAAAAAAAAATTAGTCACTCCCAACCGTCTTGGGAAATACAGAATAGCTATAAAGCGTATAAAGTTTTATTAAAGAAGTAACTGGAGGTTTCATCCTCTGTCTCTAGATGTATGTGTTCCAGAGGAAACAACTAGTTAACCTCCTGCTGAAGTCAGTTGCTATTTCCATAGCACACTAAACGAAACATGATTTCTCCCTGATACATATAAGCAGATACTTGCTTATAAGTTGGCATTTTCTGTCAGGTTAGCCTTGCTTTCTTCTCTTGTTAGAATGTCATTTGAAGTAAAATAAGAAACCTTTTAATGTGCTCAGTAAGAACTAAAACTAAGCACAGTGACCCACAATTTAATCACAGGTCCTGCAGGTGAGGCAGCAAGATCAGGAAGTCAAGATTATCCTTGGCTACACAGTGAGTTTGAGGCTAGCCCGGGCTAAATGAGACATTATCATATTTATGGAAGAAAACAAAAGAATTGAGAAGCTAGGTATTATGGCATGTGCCTATTTGAGGCTGAAAAAAATAGAATCTTAAGTGATGTGTGAGGGTCAAATTTTCAGTAAAGGTCAAGTTAAATTTACTTACAGAAAAGATGGCGATTAACTCAGGCTTTGCTGTTTAACTTAGTAATTTGTGTAATCTTGATTAAGCCTATTTTTCCTATGATTTTCTATAAAATCAGAGTGTACTCACACAGACACTTAGTGATGTACACTATTAATCTCAAACCCGAGTTGAAGAAGCATACATATCTCTGAGTCTAGGCCAGAGACACAGTGAAACCCTGTCTCCAAAAGAGAGACCAGGGGAATGGGAGAGGAATCAGCTCCTGCATTGACAGACACTGCTCTGAGCCTGGGTGGGAAGAGTGCACCAAGTATTCTGTTGCAGCTTGTCCTACTTTACTTGAGTATTTGACTCTGAACTATGAGTCTCTTCTTCCTGATCTTCTATGACGGTTTTTAAAGCAAAACTATGTGATGATTGGTATTCTCTCAGCTACTTGATATAGAATTCTGAGCATTTAAAACAATGATTATTTGCTGACTTCTGAGTTCCCCTACTACATTTCCTTATAGATGTTCATTCTGGACAAAGTGGAAGGTGACACTTGTTCCCTTAATGAGTTTACCATAACTGGATCCACATATGCACCCATTGGAGAAGTGTGAGTAAGCTTCATCATCTTGGACTCTGTCATTGTAGTGACTGGTTGTTTAGATCATCATGAGGGATGGATGGATCTAGAAAAATCTTGATGTTAACCAGAGGTATGGCTTAGTGGTAGATCTAAGGTGTGCCTAATATACCCGAAGCTTTTCTTTGATCCTCAAAAGCACTGAATAAACAAACAGCAGGATGTGCCACAATGATGAACTCTGTGTCAGGTTACAAGATCATAGCCAGCTGCCCTTCGTGAGAACCTTCTCAAGCATGTGTGCTCTCCTTAGATACATACAGAAGGCCCTGTTGCTAGATGGCTGACTGGCTCAAGTTAGTGGTTTTTATTAACAGAAGGTCTTTCGAAGCCTAGACTTTATGGTGAAGGCTCTGTTTTTTCTTCACTCACCAGTGCATAGTAGGGTTTTGATGAGAATTTCTGGTCATTCAAACTTTTTGAGTCTGTTCCAGTTTGTTCTTCCCAAACTCATTTTTATCCTTGGGTTGGGCGGTGCTGTTACATGCCTACGAAGTTCAGGGCCATCCTGGCATAGAAAGTGAGACCTAGTTTCAAACAAACGGGAGGTAGAGTGTAAGAAGCACTTTGTGTAGGCGCAGCAATGGGAGTTCTATCTCAGGACCCTTAGTGGTGGAAGGGGAGAATTTCCACAGTTTGTCCTCTGACCTCCCCTATACATATGTGCTGCATTGTGGCACACAGCCCCTCACACAGAGAAATGTTTAAGAGATTTTTTTGTTTGTTTTTTATATCTTAAGTTGAGGCAAGCTGTGACCCAGAAATGTTTTTCTCTTTTGATAGGCAAAAAGATGATAAGCCGGTGAAATGCCATCAGTATGATGGGCTTGTAGAGTTAGCCACAATCTGTGCTCTGTGTAACGACTCTGCTCTGGATTATAATGAGGTAAGACTCCTCACAATGTCCTGACCCTGGCTCAAGTGTAGGGCGAGTGGAATTTTAAAGAGCCGTCTTCCTTACTCTGAAAGATTAAGTTCCTGATTTTATTTCCCATTCTAAAAGTTAAATAGTGGGGTTGATTATTTGCTTTCTTTCTCAAAGGTTAGGCCTCTGCCAGAGAGTGCTAGCTCACTAGAATGATAAACAGTGACCTGGAATGATTGAGGGCTTCAAATGAATAAACATGTTAATAACTCAGTTTAGTGTGTCATGGTTGTACCGTCTTTTCTCACATGGACTGGGGAGGACAAGCTGTTTTACTGACATTGACTCCTTTCGACAATGCAGGCAAAGGGTGTGTATGAAAAAGTTGGAGAAGCTACAGAGACTGCGCTCACGTGCCTGGTAGAGAAGATGAATGTATTTGATACCGAACTGAAGGGACTTTCTAAAATCGAACGTGCAAATGCCTGCAACTCGGTCAGTATCTGAACTTGGTGTACTGTATCTCTTAGCCATATCATTCACATTTACTCTCCTCCATCCCCTGCCTCCTTGGCCTCTGCACTGTTGATTATACCATTGTTCTTCAACATTTTTCCTGATAGTCACAGTCAGGTAAGATGGTCTCTCATGCCTGTATTCCTAGCACTCAGGATGCGAATACCAGGAGGATTGCTGCAAATTGTCGAACAAGAATCTCATTAGAAAAACAACCAAATCACATTTTTTAAAAAACAAAAACAAAATAGCAAGCAATTAGTCATTGGTGAATAGCAGGGGCTAACTTTTCCAAGGAAGCTACAAGCATGCTATCCTTAGTCATGGCAAAGCCAGCTCCTTCTGCCTGCATTCCTGTCTTTGCTGGCTCTTCAGAGCATAGAGAAAATAACTGTATACTTTACTTTTTAAACTTAGAGCTGTCCCTTGCCCTAGTTTTCATTTGACACCCCATTTGTTTAACTCAGTGAAAAGAACTGTTGAATATTCTTTTTCACTTCTGTTTTCTCAAATCCATTCCAGTCAGGCTCTTGCCTCCACCAACCAGTCCATCAGAAGCTCTTTTGAATCACTTACAACTTTGTGCTAAATCCAGTGGTCAATTTGTTTATAATTGTTAGGTGTAACAAAATAGGCAGGTAGTAGTTGTGGATTTTGGAGCTGGAAAGAGAGCTCCCTGATTAAGAGCACTGGCTGCTCCTCTAGAGGGAGGGCCTGTGATTGACTCCCATCACCCAACTGGCAGCAAAGAACTATTGTATCTCCTCTTCCAGGGGACAAGAGGTTGTCTTCTTCTGGCTCCCATGCACCAGGCATACAAGAGGTGCACAGACATGCATACCAAATTAATATGAGGGTCTTGGAGAGATAGATGGCTCAGTGGTTACAAGTACTGGCTGCTCTCCCAGAAAACCAACCCAGGTTCATTTCCAGGGGTTCTGGCATTTTTTATACATGAGTGCAATGCAGATAAAACACCAGTGTACGTTTAAAAATTAACATTAAAAAATCATTTTGAGAAATGAAAAAACAAAGCTAAAAATGAGGGTTCTGGTATATCCCAGAAATCAACCAAAGGACTGCTGAGATCAAAAATCAATAAAGATTTAGAACATTTGAACAACAATAACCAAAATTTGTTTGTTACTATTTTTTTTTGCCATTTTTCTCTTTATTATTTTTGTTTTGTTTTCTGTTTTTTTCTTTCAAGACATTATTTCTCAGTGTAACCCAGGCTGTCCTAGAAGTTGCTCTGTAGACTAGACTGGCCAGAACGCAAGAAACCTGCCAGCTCCTGCCTCCTAACCCTAACCACCACACTCAGCTACTTTTCTTTTTCTTTTCTATTTTTTAGTTGTGGCTGGGGTGCCTTTTAACCATTTTCAAATGCATACAGATAACTCTCGGTGACAAATGCTGCTCCTCCGTGAAGCTAGACTCAGTAAATCACACAGACTATATTTAAAAGAAAAGTCAACTAACCCTGATGATATTGAAGTGGGCATTGATAACTGTCAAGTCCTCTATGAATGCATTTTTAGTGTTTACTTCATGGATTGAAGAAGCCAGTAGCGTGCCTATTGTGTTAGCATTGCTTGTCATCCGGACACGACCTGCAATCACTTGGGAAGGGAATGTCAGTGAAGAAATATCTAGATTAGATTGGCATTTAAGTGATTCTCCTGAGTTAACTGAAATGCAAAGGATTATGAACTGTCCTGGTAGAAGGGGTGCTGAGGACTAGTGTGTATGCATTAGCTCTCTGCTCTTGACTGTGGGTGTAGTGTGTCTAATTCTCAAGTTGTTGCCATAGTGATTTTCCTGCCAGGTAGGCTGTGACTTGCAACAGATAAACTTCCTCCTGTAAGTTGCCATTATCAGGATATTTCATGGCCAACCAGGAAAGGCACTGAAGCCCCTTAAACCCCAGGTTGGGAGGCTCTTAAGTTCATGGCCAGCCTAGCCTGAGCTACTGAGTTATCAAGACACCATCTCACAGAGGTGATGTCAAGTTAGAAATTAATGCTACAAGTTTCAGTCGGAAGAATATTAAAAATGGAAAACTAATAATTAGAGAATCAGAATTACAACTCAGCATGTGTTTAGGGATGTGTAGCCCCCCATGCAGTTACGCTGTATCCGTAGACTCAACAGCTGGAGAGTTGACAAGTTACCTAGTAACTTTCAGTACTGCTGTAAGGAAATTTTAATAATGCTTAATTAGAGACATTAAATCTGCAAAGTATTTGTTTTAAAAAAGTTCTCAACTCACTCGGTCTGCATAATCCTAATGCCAAAGTTCATTCAGTGTGGTGGTAGTGGATGCAGAAAGCAGCCGTGAATATTGTATCACGTACTTTTTAGCCTTGAGCCAGAGCCATAAGCTAGCATCGGCATGGGCAAACCCTGCCTGTCCAGGAACCACTGTTGTGCACCTCCACACCCTCATACCAGAGCTGTCTTTCCATACTCTTCTCTTCTTTGGCTTCCTGTGGTCTCATGAGCCCGGCCACTCTGAGATTGATAACAGTTTTGTGGCTGCTGACAGATGGATCACTTCTACCTGTCACTCTGCGGCTCAGAACCTTACACAGGGATGAAGTCGCCAAGTGGGAATGTACTTGCCTAACATGCACAAGGCCTTTATCCTACTCAGGTAGGGATGTTTATTTGGATAACAAATGATGTACAGTAGAATCAGTGTGTCAGCGGGTGGCCACTTGAGTGCTTAAAGGAATCAACAGGTACTATACTGCTCCCTCACTGAAGTTATGTGTCTCCTAGGCTTGGCTTCTCTTCTAAGGTCTTTGATGTCTGCTAGCACTACCAGGAAGTGTAGGTATCCATTCCTAGTCTCTGGCCATTTTTGTGTCTTGTTACCCCGAATGTTGAATACTTCGAATGTTCTGAGTCTGGTGGGGTCATGACCAAACTCTCTGTAATACAGAAGAATGTACTTACTTGCTGTGGCCATAGAAAACATTTAGTGACCCTCACTGGCAGAACAGTGTGACTGCAAGGTTTTAGAGAACGTACTCTGGACCCACACCCTGTGCCATTGGACTGCTCCGTTAACTGCCACTATATGAAATGATGTCACATGTCTTCCTTTAAGAAATTCTTTGTTTTCAAATGGGTTATCACTATGTAGCTGGGGCAACCCTTGAACTTGATATCCTCCTGCCTTGGCCTCCCAGTTGCTAGGATTATATAGGCATGTAGCACCACACCAGCTCTTTAGATAGCTCTTAATAGCCATTGTTTAAAGCTTTCCCTTGTTGTCCTGCACAGTTTTTCCCCCTGTGCCCTTCAGTGTATCTGTTTTACAATCTGATCTATTCCCAAACCAGAGGACACTTTTGTGAAGGTGGCTTGTGATCTTGTATACTGCTGTTGAGGCTGCCATACTTCCAAAAGAATAACGTGATGAAGATACATGAACGGGCAGGCTCTGTCATATAATGAATGCCTAATGAGTATCTCAGCGGATATAAAATGTCTAGAAACAGTAATCCAGCAGTGTTCCTCTCTGATCCCCTTTAGGTCATAAAGCAGCTGATGAAGAAGGAATTCACTCTGGAGTTTTCACGTGATAGAAAATCAATGTCTGTCTATTGTACACCAAACAAACCGAGCCGGACATCCATGAGCAAGATGTTTGTGAAGGCAAGTACTGCACAGGCTGATGCCTTCTTACCAGGTAAACAGGCAGACGCAGTTGCTGATCTGAGTCTCACCTTCTCAGGGTGCTCCTGAAGGTGTCATCGATAGGTGCACCCACATCCGAGTTGGAAGTACCAAGGTCCCCATGACTCCTGGTGTCAAACAGAAGATTATGTCTGTCATCCGGGAGTGGGGCAGTGGCAGTGACACGCTGCGGTGCCTGGCTCTGGCTACTCATGACAACCCACTGAGGAGAGAGGAGATGCACCTGGAAGATTCTGCGAACTTCATCAAATATGAGGTACCTCCACTTCACCAGCACAGTCCCTGTCCAGCCTCTGCTGCCAGAGGACAGGCAGATGTCCTTGGCCAGGTCACAGGAGTCACCCTTGTTTGGATTGTTGCTTCAAACAGAAATAGTTATGGATTTAGTAAATCTGCTTTCAAAGTAGAATAATCAAGACAAGTTCAGACAAGCCTGTCAAAGCCTAATGTAAACCAAGTTACTAATGGATATTTTAGGTATTTTAAAAATATAAAGTATTGGTAAAAAGCCGAGAGATTTCCTTTCCACTTCTTCCTTAGACCACAGTTTTATATGAGGGACATGCTGCTGTGGCACTGACACTGCCGGCCTCTAAGAGTGCTTATTCATTAACACTTTGTTCTGCACGTCCCCTCAACCCCCCAGATAAATTTTTTAAATGTGAGAATTTAGACCTGAATAATTTGATGATGAGGTGTGTGGAGACACATGGAAGCAGCAGGCTGAGGCAGAAGACTGTACTACATGTTTCAGGACTGTATCTAGTGAGACCTTGTTTCAACCAAGAGCAGGCAGGCAGAGAAAATGTCAAACTTAAGTAAGAGCAAGAGTGAGCTACCAGGACTCTGATGATGGGGTAAGCTGTTTCAACTCATGTGGCTCTCTCACTTTAGACCAACCTGACTTTCGTTGGCTGTGTGGGCATGCTGGATCCTCCCAGGATTGAAGTAGCCTCTTCTGTGAAGCTGTGCCGGCAAGCGGGCATCCGGGTCATCATGATCACTGGGGACAACAAAGGCACTGCTGTGGCCATCTGTCGCCGCATCGGCATCTTTGGGCAGGATGAGGATGTGACATCAAAGGCTTTTACTGGGCGAGAGTTTGATGAATTAAGCCCCTCAGCCCAGAGAGATGCCTGCTTAAATGCCCGCTGTTTTGCTCGAGTTGAACCTTCTCACAAGTCCAAGATCGTCGAGTTCCTTCAGTCCTTTGATGAGATCACAGCTATGGTAAGGTTTTAGACATGAACAGTGCGTGCGTGTAGTAGCCTGGGCTAGCTAGTGAGGATCCCTGTGCCTAAAAATAAAACCCAAAAAATAGCATGTTTTTTTAATCTATAAAAAATACTTAGTATTTGAGTATGTGTCTGAGGTGTGTATAAATGACCTTAAATTATGTGGCCACACCACAAATGGCTCATGTGTTTTACTTTGTGTGTTGGTGTAAGGTAATATGAGCAGGTGTTCAGTCTCCTTAGTTCTGCCTTTCTGTGTCTCTTTGGTAAACTCACGTGGCTGCTTTTATATTTCCTTGGTAAAATATTTGACACCAGCTTACTGCTCTGTCCTGCTTCCTTCTGCATCAGTCGAGCTCTGCCAAGTGGGTGATATCTGAATCCACTGCGGCTTCCCTTTCAGACTGGTGATGGTGTGAACGATGCTCCTGCTCTGAAGAAATCAGAAATCGGAATTGCCATGGGTTCAGGTACTGCGGTGGCTAAGACTGCCTCCGAGATGGTCCTGGCAGATGACAACTTCTCCACCATTGTGGCTGCCGTGGAGGAGGGGCGAGCCATCTACAACAACATGAAGCAGTTCATCCGCTACCTCATTTCCTCCAACGTGGGGGAAGTGGTCTGGTGGGTGTCTGACTGGACTGGAACTATACTGTTACCTTTCAAGGCCAGGGCCGGGGTGTTGAGCTCAGATTGCTGCTTCTGTTATAGCAAATTTAGTTGTTAGCCTGAGAGGAGAGAGATCTCATGGGACTTGTCTGCAGCTGCCCAGAGGTGCAGACGATACTCCTTAACACGGAGTTTAACATCACAAACGTCTTGGTTCACTAATAAGTTTCATATGAACTTTGACAGGTTAGATGTTGTCTGGTGCTCCTGGTTTGGGGAAGAGAATCGACTTCCATAACTCACTGAGTTCTTTCTCTTCTTCCCTTGAATGGAAACAGTATCTTCCTGACAGCAGCCCTTGGGTTTCCTGAAGCTTTAATTCCTGTCCAGTTACTCTGGGTCAATCTGGTGACAGATGGTCTGCCTGCCACTGCACTGGGATTCAATCCTCCAGACCTGGACATCATGAACAAACCCCCCCGGAACCCAAAAGAACCTCTGATCAGCGGCTGGCTCTTCTTCCGTTACCTGGCTATTGGCTGTGAGTACGACTGTTTGTTGTCTGTGTGGGAGAATGCTCTGTGCGGTGCAGGTCACTGGAAGCCTCTGTTGAGCATCCTGTCCTGGGTTATAGAGAAGCAGCAGTTAGACAGCAGGCTTTGTATGTTTTTCCCTTGCTCATAGTGATACAGTCACCAAGACATACCAGGGCCCTTCCCTGTTTAGAGCTCCTGGGTTATCACTGCCTAGGGAACAAGAACAGTCCCACTAGCAGGGGCTAGTGCTTTTTCGTGTCACAATTCAGTTTAAAAAGCATACAATTAGAGTGGCTTGCCGGTTCCTCTAGCCTTTATAGTATCTCATGGACCAGCAAAGGCAAAAAAAAAAATGTTCACTCCCTGTCTTTTAACCAGTGACCTGGTGTGCACTGTAATTTCAAGTTTTCTGTGTGCTCTGTAGTTAGGTGACTGTGACCCATGGGATAAACAAGTCTCATCTTTGTAGATTTCCTGAAGTTGATGAGGCATGGCCTCTGCCATAGACCTAACTCTGCTGCTGAGGGCTGGGTGCCAGGACTGTAATGGCAGTTGTCTGCTTGGCCATGGTTGGAACATAGTGTCCAACAAGGTCACATCAGTTTACCTATAAATTGTGGTGTGGCTTGGTTCCTTCTGTGTTCTATCTGATGGGATTTAACCTGTCCAACACCTGTTGTCCCGATGCATGCCGAGGCTTGTTCTTCAGCTCTGGCACTTTGTGCATAATGTGGGTTGGTTTTAGCAGGAATGTTTCCTCACAGACTGTAGAGCGATTGCCTAGTTCCTTTTTAGACCAGAAACACTCTGTCTGTAGTCAGCTGCTCTGGCCTAGGTGTTAACCTGCAGTTGGCAGTGCTGTCCACAGCCCAAAGTATGTTGGCAACATCATGTTTGTTTCCAGGTTATGTTGGCGCTGCCACCGTGGGTGCTGCTGCATGGTGGTTCATCGCTGCTGACGGGGGTCCGAGAGTCTCCTTCTACCAGCTGGTATTTAGCTCCTCTTCTGTTTTTACCCCTGTGTAGTAAGAGTGAATTCTTGCTTGGTCTTTCTGTGGTTTTGGGATCATCTTGGGGCTCGAACAGTAAACAGTTGCTTCAGGTAGCTCTGGGACTCAGGGCTTCTGCTGAGCTGTATTCATGTTGGTGCTGGGCCTTGAACTTGGTCTGGAATTGGTATCTAGATTTGGGAAGTATTCCTGGCTGATGGAATGGTTGGACTTTTTGTTGCAGAGTCATTTCCTACAGTGCAAGGAGGACAACCCAGACTTCGATGGAGTGGATTGTGCAATCTTTGAGTCCCCGTATCCAATGACAATGGCACTTTCTGTTCTTGTAACCATAGAGATGTGTAATGCCCTCAACAGGTTAGTGAGTCTTTTAGGCTAAGGGTTTATGAGGGTCATAGCTGATACCTCTTCCCTCCCAGAAAATAACATTTTTAAGCTGTTGTCTCCAAGAAACAATGGGGGTTGTCACCATTCTGGGTTCCTGATGTGGCAGGGTGTATGAATGTGACCAGCAGTCCAAACTATACCTGCACCCTAGGGAGTGGAGCACGAGGGATTCCATCTAACTAAGCCACTGATGGAAATGTCCACAGTGCTCTGTCCTTGGCCATCACCAGTCAAATGGACCTGCTGCACCAAAGCCTACAGCTCACCCCACTGGGAAATGCAGGCCTTTAGAGTTAGGTCAGCAGGCAGTGCCAGAGCTACACCACTAACCCTTCCCCCGGTCTGTGACATGGAAAAGCAAGCGCCTTTGCCTCTGATGAAATCACCTCTCTTCTCACCTGTAGCTTGTCTGAAAACCAGTCTTTGCTGAGGATGCCCCCCTGGGAGAATATCTGGCTCGTGGGCTCCATCTGTCTGTCCATGTCACTTCACTTCCTGATCCTCTACGTGGAGCCTTTGCCAGTGAGTCACTGTGGACCCCGGCCTGGGTCTGGTGGGTTCCTGTCTGGCAGGTCCAGAAGGTTGACACAGCCGCCTTTGTCTCAGCTCATTTTCCAGATCACACCGCTGAATCTGACCCAGTGGCTGATGGTGCTGAAAATCTCCTTGCCTGTGATCCTCATGGATGAGACGCTCAAGTTTGTGGCTCGAAACTACCTGGAACCCGGTAAAGAGTGTGTGCAGCCTGCCACCAAATCCTCCTGCTCCCTGTCGGCATGCACCGACGGCATTTCCTGGCCGTTTGTGCTGCTCATTATGCCCCTGGTGGTCTGGGTCTACAGCACAGACACTAACTTTAGCGATATGTTCTGGTCTTGACTGACAGCGCTACATACAGAAGATGTTTAACTTAATCAATTAATTTTTTTATTGTTTAAAGCAACTGTCTATTTCTGCTGAATTTTCACATGAACATATTGGCTGGTGAAGGAGGTTTCATATCTAGATTTTGTTTTGCTTTTTCTGACTCCAGTGGGACAAGATTTTCCTTTTTTTTATACACATAATTAAAGTGTCCATTGACATGTACAGAGAACTAACACTATTTTATGCAGATATTTTTTTGTAGATGAAAAAGCATGTACAGTGTTCTGTTTAATACTCATACTTGTACAAAGATAGTTGAGCCAGCAGACATTGTCAGCAAATTAATTGGCAGCAGACTTAGGAAATGAATGTGTGTGGTTTTTAAAAGAAAAAAAAAAAACTAAATAGCATGTATTGTGTCTTTTGCATGATTCTCTGGATTTAATTTGGTATCACAGTCTAATTTTTATTCATAAGCCAATTTTTCTGCACTGAGCAGAGTCCTGCTACCTCAGTCAGTATTTTTGGTTTGTCACTTCCTGCACCCTCAGCCTCTGTCACCCCCAACCCACCCCAGCCCGCTCGGCTTCTTCTGTAGGTCTGATGGTTCTGTTTACATCCATCGTCACGAGAGGTTTGCCTGTCTCGCTTGTGCAGAAAACATTGCTCCAGATTCAATCGACTGGGTTTCTATCCCTTTGCCTAGTTTTTAAGGTTATTTATTTAAATGTCTAATGTATTTTATTGTAACAGACATTGTTTTGCCAACATTGCCTATTCAGTGGCACTTCACAATCTAGTTTAAAAGAAAAATAAAACATTTTAAATGGACAGAGAAAAATAACTGTCTTGTTCTTAATGGCCTTGAACTACCTATAATCAGTTCAAATTTCTGAGCTTCTCAGCTTAGAGCCTTAGTTTCCTGTTCCTGAGAAGAAGAATCCTGTTCTGCTGCATAGTAGGATTTTATTTATAATGTATAGGCACGATCTGTCATATGATATACATTTACTCAAGTTTCTGCTGGCCTGTTGTATGTAGGTTGGTGTAAGGGCAAGTGTGTGTGTATATGTGTGTATGTTTTGTAAAAATCTGTAAATAGCACATGACCAAATGAACATATTGTATAGAAATATTTTTATTTGAATATGGCACTAACCACCACCATGACTGATGAGCATTTGCGCATGTTCAAGGTCAGTCTTAACGGCAGTGTGAGTCATTAACAGTCCTAACTGTGGTGTTTTCCTCCAATGCCTTCCAACATCCATCAACTAACGTGAGTATCTTCCCTGTGGGAGTGGGGTGCTGTGGCCTGTGTACAGATGGTGCCACTGAATGAGATGGCCCCTGTTCCTAGGGACCCGCCCGGCTCCTGTGTACACCAGGCAGCCACTTGTAAGGAAACGGGGATGTTTCTCTAGTGTAGACACTGACCAGGACAGGGATTCATGTGACCTGGGAGAACCAGCTGTGTCCCCTCTAGTTCCAAATTGAGACTTCACACAAACCATGTCACAAGACTTTGGATTTTCACTGGCTGAAGAAAGCTAGGAGAGCTAGCTGACCCTGCATAGGCAATTTCTATCACCCTTCTAGGACAGACATGGCTTAACCCTGTGCTGTGCAGAGGTTTGGGGGCTGCTACCTTCCTAAGTTGCAGGAGAAAGTGCCAGGTTCTGAGGGGACCCATCAACTGACCCTGACTTGGAGCCCTCCAGTGCTGCAGGGAGCAGTGATTCTCAGGAAGCAGGCACGTTTTGCAGTTTTGAACATGATGGAGTGGGTCAAACACAAAGGCACAACTGAGTTAAAAGACCAAATCAGAATGACAGCATGCTGGGCCCTATCACCATGCCAAGAGAGGCTGGCCCCGTCAACTCTTCCTGATGTGGTCCTTAGTTCAGTGTGATGTCTACAAATGAGTGGACCCCTAAAGGAGATAATTCTCATCCCCAATAGTGCTGTGTTGCTCAGTGTCCAGAGAGACTATTGGGACCTGCTCAATACCAACAGATAAAATAGACTAAACCACTGCTGCCCTGAGCCAGGGCCACTTGACCCCTGCAGCCACAAGCAAGGCTGACATGTCTTCTCCTGGCCCACATAGACCAAGGCCCACTGCACAGTCCCAGCCACAGGCCTCCTCCTGCATGTATTGAGCCCTGCCCTCGCCCAGCATCAAGAAGGGACAACATTTATTGTGTCAGCAGCATCCTCAACCGACTAGGGCAGTCTAGCCTGGAACTCTCGGCCTTGAGCTTTTCCCGAATGGCCTCTTCAGCAAAGCTGTATAAAGGTTCCACCCTGCAGCCCACTCAGCAAAATTCAGGTGGTGCCTTCCCCAGAGAGCTAGCAGGGCTACTAAGGCTGGAGAAGGCTAGCCACTTCACAGCAGCTGCTACCACAGCACCCTCAAACTAGGGTCTCAGCCCAATCAATGGCACAGGCCTCAGGAGCATTGGCTCGGTGCCTGCAGAGCCCCATAAGCCAAGAAGCATGGTTGCCCTTTGTCATAAGCTACCAAATTCCATCAAGACCAACCCCTGCAATTGGGAAGCCTTTAAAGCAGGGCCTGTAGCCCAGGATGGCTGCCATAGGAACGGGGAGGGAGCAGGAAGGCCTTCCCTCTCCTGTGCCATACCACTCACTGCTCCACCTGCCTCACCCTCTGCATGGCTCTCAGCCCTCCCTCGTACCTGACATGCCTTCTAGTTTCTGCCTCCTGGAGCTTTGTTAGGAGCCGGTGGTAGGAGGCGGCCCAGGGCAGTCACCAAGCCACTGCTTCTAGATGTGCCTGGGCAGCAAGCACCTCAGGACACTCAGTCAAAAATGCTGGTTTTGCATCTAGACCAAATGCAATGTTCTTTCTGTCTGTCCCTGTTGGTGTGTCTTGGGAAGTTGTTCTAACATTGCTCTATGTTTCAAAAAGCTGATTTCCTCTCTCTTTCCTTTTCAGCAATACTGGAGTAACCGCTTCCTAAACCATTTGCAGAAATGTAAGGGTGTTCGGGTGCGTGCATGTGCGTTGTTAGCAACACATCTACCAGCCCTCTGCATGACTGAGGTTGGGGAAAAGAAAAATAGAAACAGTCCCCAACTCACTGTGTGATGTGGAGGAAATGTGTATTACCGGTGGGGTTCAATCAAATAATAACAAATGTACAATTTAGCATAATCAGAGAGCCTCTCCAGAGAAGTTGGTTTCTTTGCTACAAGAAGAATGAGGTTCTGAAACCTTATCCAAGAACAGAAGCCATCAGCCAAGTCTCCACATTTCTCTGCAAAATGTCATAGCCTCTATAACTGTATGATATTGTAATGCATGCCTTCAGTTGTAAGTGGCCAGATTGCTCTACAGTGACATTGAAACATGCTTTCTAATTGGCCCTGTACAGTTTGCTTATTTATAAATTCATTTAAAACACTACAACTGTCGAATGGTTACAACATAGGCCTCCGGTCCTAACTTGAGTTGTTTTTAGGTGTGCAGCCAGCTGTCCACACTGTATTATTGTAACTTATTTAATGAAGTCAGAAGCAGTAGACAGATGTTGGTGCAATACAAGTATTGTGTGCATTTATCGTAATAAAGTGCTCAGCGTCAGTTCCGTTCCTCACAGCTTCTCACAGTGCATGTTTGACTGTAGTCTGTAAATAGAGGTCAGTTTCTGTGCTGGTAACAGGTATTGCACAGACATGATTTCAGGTAAATAAATCTATTCTACGATAACCTAAGCAGACCAGTGGCTATTTTATAGGAGGGTGGGAACAGGCACTGAGGCCTCTCCTGGGAGTTAACCAGGAGGTAAGCAGAATGCATGTCACCAGTGGCCTTCAGCAGAAATCAGCCCTTTCAGCTCAGAAGATTTCACACATGACTAGCCTCAGAGTTGTGTGACTGCCCAGATGCAAAGTGACTGTGGCCTTCTGCTTAGGACAGGCGACAGAGCAAGTAGACCTGAAAGGATCTCCTGGAATAGAACAGCTCTTTGACAACACCCAGGGCCAAGATGGCTCAGCAGGTAAAAAGGCCTTTGCCATATGATAAGCCTAGAGACCCACGTTTGATTCCCAGAACCAGTGGTAGAACTGACTCCATCCACAAACTTGTCCTCTGACCTCCACATCTGCCCACATTCAGAATTACAACATCACTGTCACCAACAGTTCAGCTCAGATTCAAAGGAGAAATTCCTCAGAATGAACAAAAAATCTCATTGGAGACCAGGCTGGTCTGGAACTCTGCCTGCCTCTGGTTCCCAAGTACTGGGAGGTATATGCATTCACAGCCACCCAGCACAGACATCCTGTTCTTAGCAACATTTAATATCTTTGAAGACTACATGTCAAGACAGTTGTTTTAATCTAGTAAGCTTGTTTTGCATGGACAGAGGAGGACTATACCAAGCAGGTAGTGCACTGTCTGAGGACCACGGGCCCTTGTGGTTGACAGAAATAAACATTTTTGTATCCTCAGGCCCAATGCAGTGCAAATGGATCAAAAGGTTTTAAAGCCTAAACTACACTTTGGGAGAACTGCCTTGTGGGTATGCAAGGATGCTGTTCTGTGTCAGCTGTGCAGTTTTCACAGCTGGTGGGAGTGCAGTGCCCCACCACAACTGAAGAACAACTGAGTATCACCTAAGAAGCCCAAAGCCCTTCATCAGAAAGCTACAGCCACAGTTTGCAGGAGAGAAGCAAAGCTGCCAAGTGTAGGAAGCTTGGAGGTGGGAAGCACAAGTCAGAACTCAGGGTCAATACAAACCCAGCACCCACAGCACCAGGACCTCAACTGTCTGTGCTAGGTGAAGCCTCACCAGAGCCTCTCACATCCTTGTATTTTTTAAATACAAGGAGAAAACTTGGCCTTCGTTGGCATGACCTGAAACCCTGAGAATGACTAAAGAAGAGGTGATTAGAATCTCTTAACACTACACTCCAGAGTCAAGAAAACAGACTTCTCATACGCTGAAGAGAAGTACTCTATACTGGTATTATAGGGATGTGCTATCTGACCACTCTTGAGGGGGTTGCTTATTCCCAAACCCCACTTTTTTTAAAGCCTCATACTGTGGTCCAAAATTCAAGTTAGGCTGCCCTCAAACTCACAGGCTCTTCCTGCCTCCCAAGTGTTGGAATTAAAGGCCTGCATCACCGTGCCCAGCTTCAGGTCTGTTTTTAAGTGCCCATACCCAACACTTCATGTTGCAGTTCCCAAATATGTTCAGACAAGAATAATCCATTTTAGTTTTTTAGGTAGAACCTCACAGCCCAGGCAGGCTCTGGCCCAAACTCAGTATATAGCTGAACCTGCCCTTCAACTGTTCCTGCTGCCTCCACCTCCCAAGTGGGCCCACCCACTATACTATTGTGGCTTCCCACTATACTATTGGCTTGCAAATACTGGAAATAATTGGCTACCACCAATAAATAAGACCTAGAGCAGTGGTTCAAAGCCTTCCTAATGCAACACTTCAATGCAGTTCCTCACGTCGTGACATCTAGCCATAAAATTAATGTTACTGTGTCATGAACTGATTTTCCTAGTCTTATAAATTGTAACATAAGTACCTGATATGCAGGATGACCTTAAGAGACTCCTGTTTGGCTCTCAGATCTCACAGAGATTACTGATGCCTATATGTTGTTCTCTGATTTTCACATGTGCTGTGCTTATATGCACACAATCACATACATTTTTTCCTTGAGGGACAGATGGTTGAGAGCACCAGTTCTGAGTTATCTAACGCCCTCTTCTGGCCTCCATGGGCACTGCACGCACAGAGGCACAGTCATACATGAAGCCAAAACGGATAAGTAGTTTGGTTTGGGTTTTTTCCAGACAGGATTTCTCTGTGCAGCCCTGGCTGTCCTGGAACTCACTGTAGATCACTTTGTAGAGATCCACCTGCCTCTACCTCCCAAGTGCTGGGATACACAGCACGCGCTACCACTGCCTGGCCCAAAAATCCCTTCCCCAGCCCTCTAAAATCTTTTAAAGGAGACAAAAGTAAATTCCTTGCCTCAGTGATTGTAAGCAAAGGACTCCAGGATACAGGTAGCAGATTACAAAGGCACTGGGGGTGGGGTGAGGGTGTCAGAGACATCAAGTCATGAACTGAGTGGGCATGGATGAATTCTGGCCTAGTTCCACCCATAGCTAGAGCAGAGTGAGCACCTGCAGGTTCCTGACAGAACCTAGCAGCAAGGATCACCCATACTCCCATTCAGGCTTCCTGACATCACTTTCTATGGCAGGTTCCAAACAGCATGGGGCATACCAAAAAGCAACCAAGTAAAAGTGCAAATAATCACAGGTTGGCATTAACATGAACAAAGGTTAAAAGGGCACAGCAAAAGCTGCCTATCTCAGATTCACCAGCAGTGGTGAAGGTGGCGTCCCTCCCAAAGGAGGCTAGAAAGTGGGCAAGGAAGGCCACAAAGCACAGACCAGGTAGGTGCTACTTCAACCCAGACACGCAGATTAAACACACCTCAGTGGTGGAGGCATCCTAAGGCAAGGACCTTTGGTCCCTAGAATGCTTCACACCTCAGGCCAATTACTAGAAAAAACATCTGACAAAACTCCAAAGAAGAATTCCTGATAAAAAGGTGGACACGCAAATTACGGACTTGGTGATGGGGTAGCGTCAGACACAGATCAGCAACTAACGTTGATGAGAAGACACCAGGATGCAGCAAGGACCACAGACAGCTGGACGAAAGTGAGAGCATCAGACACTTGTCACTTCACTTTTGTGAGTTTGAAAGATGTCTTTTGAACAGCAGAGAAAGTTCCAGAACTGGTAAAAGACCATGATCTGTAACTGGATGAATCTTAACTTCCACACAGGATTGAAACCAAAACAGTGCTGAGACATAGTAAGCAGAACACAGAAAATCTTTCACAGCTTTTTTTTTTTTGGGGGGGGGGGTGTACACAACAAACAAAAAAAGGACACAGCTGAGAATGACTATGGCTCTCCCAGAGTCACAGAAGAAAGATACCCAAGTGTGGGTATGGACTCCTGCAGCCCAGGCTGACCTCAAATTTGCTATGTAGCTAAGGATGACCCTTACCTTCTGATCCCCCTATTTCTACCTCCCAAATGTCGAGAATTACAGACACCTCACCTAACTACATCTTTATTTAAGGAATAAGCACTGTGTGGGTGGCGGTACAACCTGTAGTCTCAACTCTCTGGAGGCAGAGGCAGGCAGATCTCTGGGAGTTTGAGTACAGTCTGGTCTACACATGAGATCCTAGCTCCAAAAATAAACTGAGAGAAAGAAAACACTGCATCACCTGCGAAGTGGTAGGTCTGGACTCACTGGCAGGGTGCTGCGTGGCTTTGAGCTTGGAGGTAGCAGGCCCAATCTTCCCTCTGATGGCAGGGGTGAGGGGTCATACCCACTGTTCTATCCTCTTGACCATCAGGGCAGATTCTTGCTCTAATTTCCAATCAAAACCTGAAGTAAACCCCTGCTGTCTGTGTGCTCACTTTGTGCTGAGGGGTTGGTATGAGTTGTTGCAAAACTCAGGTTCTGCAGGCCTCGGGTCTGGCTGAAGGCAGCATTGTTAGTGCAAAGAGCTCTAAGCCTTTCCCAAAGCAGGCCTAGCTCACAGATGGAGGGCAATCATATCCATGGGAGGCTCAACCCCAAAGGAGCGGCCACACGTTCCAGGGATGTGCTGACACACTCAGAACAGGCAGAGGGGACATAGGCATAGAGAACTTAAGGCTATGGCAGAGACCAGAAAGGGAGAAAGAACCTTAAACCCCACATACACAGAGAGAAACATATCCAGGAGTCACCCCTCAACCTTTAGGCAAGGTGGTCTGACTTTAGCACCACCTTGGGGGAATGAGTTCCTCCAAGGCAAAGCTCAGCACAAGGAAGTATCCTGAGACACCAGGCATGAGAAAACACGGCTCCCAGCTGCCATTTCAGACAGGGTCCTCGTTTGTAACTCTAACATAAAGCTTAAGAATGAGTACCTGCAGGGATGGGACAACTGCAACAGGACTTGAAGGGGACAGGTCCAGCCTGGGCTACCATATTCTTATAGAGTGGACAACTTGCCAGTCCCCTGGAAAGTTCCAAGAAGGATCACTCTACACTCTGCAACAGGCTGCTAGGGATTTACCCAAAGAAGGAAAAGCTGGGAGCTAAGAGAAGCAGCCAGAGGGCTGTTTATAAAGACAGGCTCTAAAAGATCTAAATGGCAGGAGAACCAGTCTCAGGATGACACCACCCTGGCCAGACTGGCGGGCAGCCTGACTGCAGCGAGGCTGAGCGTGACAACAGTTCAGAAGATGATGCCAGAGCGTTGGGGGTGAGAGGTATCATGGGTCAGAGAACCATGCTCTGGGAACCACAGCATGTGACTCAGGGTTGAGCTGCTGCCAGCCCAGAGGCCCACACATTAAATGCCGGGTGAATACCAAGCCAAAGCAGGTTGGGTTGTCCCAGGACAGCAAGGGTTCTAGTCTGTCTGTCACCTGAAAGTGGCATATACCATTCCACAAGAATGTGAGCTTCTCCTGTTCTGGGGCTGTTAGATCAGAAGGTGTCTCTGACATCACAGACTAGGCTGAAGACAAGCATCCACAACAGTACAGGGCCACAGGGGCTCTGCATACCACATAACAAATGTAGCCAGGGGACAGAGCAGCCCAAGAGATCCAGGTCCAGCAGAGCCTGGGTTTTCATTTCATTCTGTGTGCTAGGCA